GTGGAGCTTCTGCTGGTCGAGGGTCAGACCTACGCCCAGGCGCCGTGTCCGGCAGTCGCCTCCGAAGCAGAGGATGATGATGATGATGATGATGATGATGATGATGATGATGATGATGATGATAATGATGATAATGATCATCATCATGCTGATGGTGGTGATGATGATGATTATAATGATGATGATGATGCTCATGATGTTGATGCTGATGATGATGCTGATGTTGATGCTGATGATGATGATGATCATGATGATGATCATGATGATGATGATGATGATGATGATGATGATGATGATGATGCTCATGATGCTGATGATGATGCTGATGCTGATGATGATGATGCTGATGCTGATGCGGATGCGGATGCGGATGCGGATGCTGCTGCTGCTGGTGATGATGATGATGATGATGATGATGATGATGGTGATGATGATGCTGCTGCTGCTGATGATGATGATGATGATGATGATGATGGGTGGTGGTGGTGATGATGATGATAATAATGATGATGACGATGATGATGATGATGATGATGACGATGACGACGATGATGATGATGATGATGATGATGATGATGATGATGATGATGATGCTGCTGCTGATGATGATGATGATGATGATGATGATGATGATGATGATGATGATGATGATGATGATGATGATGATGATGATGATGAGGGTGAGGAGGAGGAGGAGGAGGAGGAGGAGGATTAGGAGGACAGGACGCTCGAGGCCCGAGGTTCGACGATCGAGGTTTTTCGTTAGGGTCCTTTGCCCTTCTTGAGCCGCCTCGAGCATCGTCGTCACAACGGTTGGATCACCATCGAACTTCTGGCCGGGCCGCACTCCCGGACAGGCCAGGGTGCCGATCTTGAACGGGAGGACTCAGACCTTTAGCGTCACTAACTTCGCATTTCGTGACGGCCGGATTTTCCACTTTGTTTCCAAACATCCTGTAGAGTTGGGCCCTCGTTTTGAGGAGAGCGCCCTGCGTCTTCCTCCTCCTCGCCCTCCTCACTCCTCCCATTCCGTGCAGTTGCCGCGACACCTCGCGGCGTGTCGATTTGGGACGACCGCTAGAGCGCGCGCGGCCACGGGCGGCGCGGCCATCCGCGCCCCCGATCCCGCTTGGCACCGGCGCCTGCGGCGGCAGCGACCCTGGGTTCGCACGCTGCTGCGGCTGGGCGCCGCCGCGGGCCTGCTGGCCAGGCTCCACAGCAGCCAGCAACCCGCCGCCATGGCCAAGGGCGACAAGAAAGGAAGGTCATCGTCGGCCCCGCGGCAGGTCGACGGATCGATATCGTGGACCTGCAATGGCTGCGACACCCAGCTTCTCCAGCCGCGCCACCTGCCGAAGCTGCGGGGGGAAGAAGAGGTCGCTGCCGCCGTGGCTGGCAGACGGCACCCCGGGGCAAAGTAGCCGCCAGCGGGGAGGAGACGAACGCAGCCAAACTCCATGGAGCCAGAGGGAGCCGCCATGGATGTCGCAGCAGGCAGCGGACAAGGGCCCCATGGGCATCCTGCCGCTGCTTCCCACGGAGGCCAAGAAGCACAAGGCGTGGGTGCAGCCGCCCCCGCTCGCCGCTGGGCTCACACAGTTTCGAGGGTCCCTGCGCAATGCGCTGCTCGCGGCAGAGGGCTGAGTCAGAGCGACAAGAGGACCGCCAGAGCCAGATCGGATGAGGTTGGACCACGTCATCGGCAGGAGAGGCGGCGGCCTCAGGCACGGCCGCGGAGGCCGAGGATGATGCGCAGCTTTGAAGGTTGCGGGGCCCCGCCGCAGCCCGCGTGGGCTGCGACGGGGGGGGCGGGGCCCCTGCGCCGCCGGCAGTACCGATGCCAGCTCTTCCGCACCGAGGGTGGCCTGTTCGAGCAGTGCCGCTGCCAGGCGGCCGCCAGGCGCTGCAAGCGCTACGAGCGGCGCGGCCGTTCCAGCTCGCCAAGCTCGTAGGCGGATCCAGCCAAGAGCAGTATTTGCACTCGGCCGCGCGGCTGCTGATCGCAGACTGCAGCGCCAACCAGTCTCCGCAGATGCCGCTACGGCACGCGCGCCTCGACATCTACGCAGGTGGCCCAGGGGGCGCCGCAAAAGGAGACGTCCTTGGGCCCCCGTCCTGGGCCTTTTGTTGTCATCGCCACGGGCGTGCAGGGGGAGCGTTCCGTGCTCGGGCATCTCGGGCAAGCCATGCCAGGGCTTGCCGATCGCTTTCGCCAGCCCTCAGTAGCGGCCGAGCTCTGCGCGGGGATACCTGCGGTGCTTTGGTTGGTGCAGCTGCGCCGCGCCCTCGGCGTGGAGGGGGTGGGTGGGCTTCCCGCAGATCGTCGTTCACGCCGACTGCCAGTGCGTTTTGGGCATCGCGCAAGGAGGGCCCCCCTGGCCACCTACAGGCCGCGCTCCATCGCCCTCGACGGTCTCGCGAAGGTCCTGGGGCACATCGCCGTCAACGACTGGCAGCGCGTGCGGGGCCGCGTGGCCGACGTGTGGAACGAGCTCGCGGGCGCCGTCGCGCAGGGGCGGCATCGCAGTTGCCCAGTGCAACGACCTGGTCTGAGACCAGTTATTCGCCCACCTCCAGGAGGTCCCGTGGCTATGGCTAGCGGCCGCCCCCCGTGACGCCCGCCGCCAGTTCCCCCCCCCCGGGGGCGAGGCCCCCATGTTGGGGCCGTCTGTCCACGGGCCCAGGCAGTTTCTGGAAAGCCGAATGTCCAGGGCCCCATGCAGGGGGGGAGGGGGTAGCCGTCAGCTAGTCTAGTGCTCAAGCTCGCCGTGGCCAATGTCCTCGCGCAAGGCCCCGCGGAGGCGCGAGGGGGCGAATCCAATGCCTTCGCTGGGGTGATGCTCCTGGGCAGGCAGGGCGCGCATGCTGGCAGGCCCGTTCGGCCTCTTCGGGCGCCGCTTCGTCGGCGCCCAGGAGACGAGGGCCCCGGAGGACTCCCTGATCAGATTTGGCGACGACCGCATCTACCATGCTGCCGCCGCGGCCGAGGGGCAGCTCGGGCCCCCCCCCCTGGGTCAACCTCAAGGCAGCGCGGCGTGCCGTGTGTGGAGAATAGTGGCAGGCTGCAGAGAAATTGCTGAAGACGAGGCCATCGCCCTCCACGAGACTGGCGTGTCTCATGGACGCTGGCGCGAGGGTTGGCGGCGTCGGCGCGGAGGCCATCGGGCTCTGTGGCGCAGCCAACGAGACGCGCAGGAGTATGCCCACGAGGCTTCACCTCCGCGGTTGGTGTCTGCCTCCCCAGCGCACTCCTCCCATCTCCAGTGGCGGCGAGTGCGCCGCGTGAAGCTGCGCGGCCAAGGGCGGCAAGCGCGGGGGGCGCAGGCCGGACTGCGTCGCCATCTCGCCGCATATGCTCACTGGAGTAAAGACCGCGGGATCAGCCGCGACATCGAGCTGGCCTTATCCCACCATGGCCATGCGCTTGTGGGCCTCGCCGTCGCGCTGGAGCCGGGCGCTGAGCAGCCAGGGCCACGGTGGCGCGGCACGGGGATTGACGGGGCGAAGCTCAACCTGCCAGCGTGCTGCGAGCACTTCAAGCAGCTGCTGCAGCAGCTACCAGACGCGTCACTCCACCTGCGCCCTAACGACCACGCAGAGGCGCTGGACGACGCAGCACGAGCGGCAGCGGCGCAGGTTTCCCCCAGGGAGCTGATGGAGCCGATGCCGCCACGCAGCTCGTGGACGTCAGCTGCCTCGAGGGACCCGTGCCAGCTTAGGCGATATCATCAACGGCGAGCGCGTCGCACCCAGTCCAAATCCAGGCACATGTTGATGTGGGCGCTGTTCGCCGCCTGGGACCACGCGCCGAAGTGCGAGCCGTGGCGCAGCCGTCGGACCGACCAGGACAGCATCAACATCAGAGAGGCGACCAAGGTCGTGGATGCCATGCCCCCGCTGCTCGAGATGCTGAGAAGCTTCCAGGGGCTTCTAGACACCGTGGCTAAGGTGCTCAAAGCTCAGTTCCCGCGGCCACTACGTCACCGACGTGCCGCCAAGCAGGCGGCCAAATCAGCTGCACCTGCGATGGGGGGCCCGCCCGCTTTGGCGAGACTCCAAGCGAAGGCCCCCGATGACAAGACAACGTGAAGGGCCGCGACAGCCCGGTGCCACCCTTGGCTACAGTGGCGCAGCCAAGTGGACCACGCCAGCAGTAATACTTGGAGGCAATAGACGAGCACTTCCTGCTGGACCACGAGGTAGAGGACCTCTTCGGCGACATCTTCGAGGATGCGCAGTTCACTCCAGACGCGTCAGGTGCGATGGCTGGAACATCACATGCAGTATCTGTGGGCCCTCCGAACGCCTTCGAGTGCCGCGAGGGGGCGGAGGTCGCCTATGGCATGTACGGCGACGCGGCGGAGGGCCCTGTCGAGTACGACCTGACTGTTGACGAGGACGCCCTGGCCGAGGTGTCGCTGGACGCTGCTGCGCTACGTGGAGGCGTGGGCGCTGCGGGTCGATCCGCGCGGGAGATCGGCCCAACCTCGCGCGAACCGCTGATCCCAAGGCGGCTTTCGCCAAAGCGCCGCGCTGACGCGGAGCGGGAAGCCACCTGGCGCTGGAACGCAAGTCCCAGCTCCCAGGAGCACCCCCGAAGTGAACAGCGAGAGGGGCTGGGCTCAGTCGCCGAGCGTTTTGCTGGAGTCTGCCCCCAGGTGCACCCACGGGGTAAACAGCGTGTGGGGCAGGCCCGCCTCGACGAGGCAGGCAGGGGCGGATGCGGCCGCTGCTGGAGCGCCTGCAGGTGAGCCATCTGCGGTGGCCGCGCACTGCCGGCTGGACCAGGAGGTCGGGGACCTTCGGCGACATCTTCGAGGATGCGCAGTACATTCCGCCAGCGACAGGTGCGAAGGCTGGGAAGTCGCAGGCAGTGTCTGCGGGCCCTCCGAGCGCCGCTGGCCGCGATCGACTTTGGGGCCGCAGACGGCGCGAGGGGGCGCGCCGTTGCTGGCGGAGCAACGTGGGCAGGGCTGCGAATGACAGGAGGGGCGGCGTGTTGGCCAGGGGTGGGGTTGGGGGCGGCTCGCGGAGCACCCCGTGGTCCCTCCCCCAAGCCAGGGGCAACCAAGCGACCGCTCAAAGAGGTGGACCCCGGCGAGGATCAACGTGCTGGAGGAGCGGAGGGCAGTGACGAGCAGCTCCCACACCCACTGCTACGACCGCAACGGCGACTGTGGTATCCTTGACTGCGTCGACGGAGGCGACTCAGTACGCCTGGCGGACGCTCGACACTCTGCGAGCCCGTCTCTAGGTGTGGCCCCACTCCAGGGGGTGGCCGATGCCCTCGTCGCCCAGGCGGCGGCCGGAGGTTCGAGCGCCCCGCCCGCCCCGGCCGCCCCCGCAGCCCGCCGCCGAGAAGAGGGCGCCAACCCGCGCGTGGAGCGCAGCAGCCTGCTGGAGCAAGAGCCAGGCGATCGACATGTGCGTCGCGCCGCGCGAGCTGCCCGAGGCGATCTCACGAATATGCAGGGGGCATGCCGACGAGACAGAGGGCCGGGCCAGCATCTGGATCCACGACCCCATGGATGCCCATGCTAGCGCGCACTCTTGGAAGGCATGGTGCGTGCCCTGTATCATGCAACGCCTGAGGCAGGACAATGAGCTCCTACTCAGCGACCAGAGAGGACGAAACGTCGGATTCGAGAGGACCACCCAGCGCATCGCCGAGGACATCTGCGACGAAACGCGGGACCAGTCAAGAGACAGGCGGGAAGGGCGCCTGCGCTGGATCGACAAGGTGAGCGCGCTAGTCGAGACAGGCTAGTGGCCGAACACTGGCGCGACCTCGACCAGGTGAAGGACCACTTCAGGCCCCTCTTGAGCAGCCAAGCCCCACCAGAAGGAGCTGGGCTGCGACGGGGGCTGGAGAGCGGACCCCACCCAGGAGGGGAATAATATGGAAGGAGCAGGAGGGGGCATGACGCCACGGCCCCAGTTGACCAGCTTGAGGCACGACATCCCGCGCGCGAAGTGCACGACCAGAATGTCGCAGGATAGCTGGGCGGCTGGGCATGCTTCGACAACGGATGGACTGAGCAGGTCGCAGACCAGGAGTGGATCCTCTACGACGCCAGCCAGGGCGACGACCAGCGGGACGTCGCCGAAAGAGTTGGACCAAGCCCTGACAGGGCCAGAGGAGCACAATGCTACCTCGACGACCCTGACCACGAGCCGTTCGAAGACCTTGGCCACGATTGCCAGGACTCGGCCAGCAAGGTATTGCCGAGGTCAGGAGCGCCAGCCACGGTGCTCCTCGAGCCGTGTGCTGGCACAGACGGCGCCAGCAGACAGGCGGTCGCTGGGTCATAACGCGCGGCCAGTACCAGGCAGGCAGCGGCCGACTCCCTGGCAGGCCAGAGCGCAGCCCCGCCGAGTCCAAGCTCGCCGTCCAAGGTGCCCCCCGAGCCGTGCGAGGGCACATGCGTCGCCGCGCCAAGTATAATCCAGCGGAGAAGACGCGCGTGCTCACTACAGCCAGCCTCGTACGGCTTGGGAGGCCAGCTTTTCAAGCGGGCGGTGGCTTTCAAGCCCGAGGAGGCCATTTTGCACGTGCTCAGCGAGTGCGACGGCGATTGGGCCACCCTGCTTCTGGCCATGTTCGACGTCGCCGCATTGTTGCAGCATGTCGCCACGGCGTTAAGCAACTGGGGATGAAAGCTGATGCTGAAGACCATGCAGACCGCGCTCAGAAGCGACGCCAGCGACCACTACCAGCGCATCGCCGCGGAGGTCAGCGACGCATGGGGCCAGATGCACGCCGAGAAGACCTTCGCGAGGCTCCGAGGCATGGGCGTGCGATCGCCCAAGGAGCTGATGATGGCCACGCCGCCGCAATGCAGGAAGCTCGACGGCAGCGTGGCGGTTGATCGCCGAGAGGTGGGCGAGAGGTGCCTGCAGCACTTCGCCCTAGTCGAGTTCGCCGCGGGCGTGCCGTTGCAGACGCTCGATCGGTGCGGCGACTTCTTCAGCCCGCTTCCCCGGGACTACGATCTTCTCGAGGATTGCGCCCCCTCGCTCAACGAGATGGGGGGGGCCCTTCGACTCACGAAAGACTCAGCGGCAGGGGTAGAAAGTATCCCTGGCCTGCGCTGCAGAAGATTCGCAGGCCCGCTGGCCAAGGCATACATGCCGTTGGTGGTCAAGTACGCAGCCGCGGGCATCGAGCCAGTACAATGGAAGAGGGGCTACTACAGGCACCACCACAAGAAGCACGATATCGCCAATTGCGCGAACCGCAGGTGCTTCGCAGTCACGGCAGCCACGGACAAGCGCGTGCGGCACTGCATGGGAACAAGGCTTGCCCCGGCGATGCCAGCGCCAGTGGGGCCACGGCAGTTCGGCGGCATCAGGTGCAGAGGCACGCAGCGCGCCATCATCTTGCTGCGGCTACTGCAGGCCTCAGCCAAGCAGCAGAGTCTCACGTTCGGGGCCTTCTTCTTAGACGTCAGGAACGCATGCTACTCGCTGGTGCGTGAGATCATCCTGGACACCAACATGTCGCACGGCAGCGTCAGCGCGATCGCCGACTCCACGAGGGGTGCCAGCTGCAGCTATGCAGCCGCTCAAGCAGCAGCTACGGGGCCAAGGGGTACTTGCTCGACGTGGCATCACAGGGCACCTGCGAGCGCTGATCGCTGAGCAGTGCCGCGCCTCGCGCCTCCTGGTTTGTCTGCGAGGGCTCGGACCGCGTCGGCCTAGGCGCGAAGTCGCCCATTCAAGGCCAGCCGCTGGCGGACCAGGTCTACGAGGTAGCCGCGGGGAAGATCATGCGCGTCGCCGAGGCCAGGCTCTCCCAACATGGGCAAGAAGTCTGCATTCCAGGGGCCGTGGCGCGCTTGATCGCCAGCCAGTTCGAGGACGGCGATTCCTGGACCGACATCCCGGCCCACAGCGTCGCGTTCGCAGACGACGGCGCCTACTTCTACGTGGGCAGAGCGGAGGGCGCGGCCGTGCTCGTGCTGGTTGGAGGGGTCATCCTCGACGCGTTCGCAGAGTGCGGCTTCCAGCTCAAACTGGGCACAGGCAAGTCAGAGGCCCTCCTGGCCTTCGCAGCCGGAGGCTCTAAGGAATCCAAGCGCAAGCTGTGACGCGACCAGCGAGGTCAGCTCCAGCCCGTCTCCAGATACTTCGAGCGCCCCATCGTGAGCGTCGTCGCCGCGCGCGTGCAGCTCGGCACGGTTGTGGACGATCGCGGGGCCATGTGCCCAGAGCTCTACCGAAGGGCGCAGACTACGGCGCACCAACTACAGCGGTTTCGACGCAAGGCTTGTGCAGGAGACCAACTACCACTCAAGGTCCGCATGATCTTCGCGGACTCCCTCATCATGGGCTCCAGATGCTACTCAGCGGGCAGCTGGGGCCCGCTCTCGGCAGCAGAGCACAACTACGCGCACCGAATGGTGATGTCCGTGTACGAGGCGGCCATTCGCAGCTCCCTAGTCAAGCGCAGCCAAGAGGAGGATGCGGAGCTAGGGAAAGTTCCGGACGCCGAGGACGGTTATGTGCTCGAGAAAGCAGGGCGAGCACGACCAGCCGACCTTTTCGGAGTAGCGAGGCTGCGCCTCTTCGGCGAACTGTTGCAGTCGGGCCCCGTGCCAGTCTTGGCGCTGATGGCCAAGCTACTGTTGCGGTCAGCGCCACCGCAGCGCAGCAACTGGCCCAATAAGCTTATCGACGACCTGGTCTGGTCGCAGCAGTACACCCACTTCGTCAAGGGACTCTCGGACCCATGCGAGGACATCCGTCCATGGGAACAACGCACCAGCGCCTTAAGCACCAACTGGAAGTACCAGTTGGGCGACGTCCCCCAGGCAGCAGCGAAGGGCCTCGGCAGGCGCGCCATGGCAGCGGCGGCGGCCAAGCGCTTCTTCGCACTGGCGCAAGCGGCAGGTGTGCCGTGGTCGAGCAGGCCAGGCAGCTCACGTGGGCCGCCACAGCCAGCGCAGCAGCTCCAGGGCGACGGCAAGTGGCCGTGCCCATGGTGCGCGACCAGCTCCGCACGACAGAGAGGGCTTCGAGTGCACATTGCACGCAATCGCTGGACAATGACGGCCTTAGCCCAAACATGGGTGCGAGGAGCCAGCCAGTGCCAGGTATGCATGATGCAATTCCATCGTCCGCGCCATCTGCTGGAACACTTAGCAGTCGCATCGTCCACCCGCCTTCTGCTCACCATCAAGGGCAGCATGCTGGCAGCCGACGACGACAAGGTGACCGACCCACCTTTGCCCAAAGGGGGCTTCCGCAAGAGAGTGGGCATCCCAGTAGGGCGAGCAGCAGGCCCAGCCACAGAGGAGACGGACAAATGGAGGTCCAGGTTCCACGACTGGCAAGCCAAGCAGATCCTCTTGAAGTGCGATTATGCCCTGGGCGACGAGGCCAGGACCGCGCTGCAGGCCCCCACCCTCCACGGGCAGCAGGACATCGAGAAGGGCCCAGAG